TTCCTGAAATGCACTAAAAAATATCCCATAACTCCTCGGAACTCCTTAAAAGTTCTTGCAATTTTCCTGTTTTGGAGTTCTCTGATCAACCTCGAAGAACAAGGAACTTCTCTGATTATAATGAGACTACGGGAACTTAGGACCTAATGCAATGTTCAGCTTGAATTATCCGAGGAGTAAGCAGACAGAAAAATCGATGAACTTCGATTAAATGTTGTGGTACCTTGAGTACTCGCTAGTTACATACATACATACATACATACATACATACATACATTTATTTGTACAACATCACATTTAAGATAAGACATAATCAACAATAGTACGCCACAATACTCGGTTTGCGGCTGCCGCTCTCCATCCTCGGTCATGCCCAACGCAAGATCACGCTCTACTTGGTCCGCCCACCGTGCTCTCTGCGCTCCACGCCTTCTTGTGCCAACCGGATCAGTAGCGAACACAAACTTTGCAGGGTTGTTGCCGGCATTCTTGCAACATACCCTGCCCACCGCATCCTTCCGGCTTTGGCCACCTTCTGGATGCTGGGTTCGCCGTACAGTGCAGCGAGCTCGTGGTTTATTCTTCGCCGCCACTCACCGTTCTCCTGCACACCGCGGAAGATCGTCCTTAGTCCTCGAGCATAGTCCATGTCTCGTGTCCATAGAGGACCACCAGTCTTATTAGCGTTCTGTACATGGTACATTTGGTGCGGGGGTGAATCTTTTTTGACCGTAGTTTCTTCTGGAGCCCGTAGTAGGCACGACTTCCACTGATGATGCGCCTTCGTATTTCACGACTCACATTGTTGTCAGCCGTCAGTAAGGATCCAAGGTTAACGAATTCCTCCACTACCTCGAAAGTATCCCCGTCTATCGTGACATTACTTCCTAGACGAATCCTGTCATGTTCTGTTCCGCCTACTAGCATGTTCTTTGTTTTTGACGCACTCATCACCAGTCCGACCTTTGCTGCTTCGTGTTTCAGGCGGGTATATAGTTCTGCCACCGTTCCAAATGTTCTTGCGATAATGTCCATGTCGTCCGCAAAGCACACAGATTGACCGGATTTCGTGAAAATCGGACCCCGGCTGTTTAGCCCGGCTCGTCGCATTACACCTTCTAGAGCGATGTTGAAGAGTAGGCATGAGAGTCCATCACCTTGTCGCAGTCCCCGGCGAGATTCGAATGAACTGGATAGTTCACCCGAAACCCTTACGCAGTTTTGCACACCGTCCATCGTTGCTTTGATCAGTCTGATCAGCTTCCCAGGAAAGTCGTTCTCGTCCATGATTTTCCAAAGCTCTGTGCGGTCGATACTGTCGTATGTCGTCTTAAAGTCGATGAACAAATGATGCGTTAGGACCTGGTATTCACGGCATTTCTGGAGGGTTTGCCGTACGGTGAAGATCTGGTCCGTTGTCGATCGGCCGTCAATGAAGCCGGCTTGATAACTTCCCACGAACTCGGTCATTTTAGGTGATAGACGACGGAAGATGATCTGGGATAGCACTTTGTAGGCGGCATTCAAAATGGTGATCGCTCTGAAGTTCTCACATTCCAAATGGTCGCCTTTCTTGTGAAAGGGGCAGATTACCCCCTCCTTCCACTCCTCCGGTAGCTGTTCTGTTTCCCAGATCCTGACTATCATCCGGTGCAGTCCAACTTTTCTGGACCCATCTTGATGAGTTCGGCTGCGATACCATCCTTACCAGCTGCTTTGTTGTTTTTGAGCTGCTGAATGGCATCCTTAACTTCCCGCAGCGTGAGAGTTGGGTCAGTTCCGTCCTCTGCTGCACTGACGTAGTCGTTTCCTCCATTGTGCTGGTTTCCCGTGCCTACGTTCTCCTCGCCATTCAGGTGCGCATCGAAGTGCTGTTTCCACCTTTCAATCACCTCACGTCCGTCCGTCAAGAGGCTCCCGTCCTTATCCTTGCACATTTCGGCTCGCGGCACGAAGCCGTTGCGGGATGCGTTGAGCTTCTGGTAGAACTTCCGTGTTTCTTGGGAACGGCACAGCAGTTCCATTTCCTCGCACTCCTTTTCTTCCAGGCGGCGTTTTTTTCTGCTGAAAGATGCGGGTCTGCTGTGTCCGCTTCTGTTTATACCGTTCCACGTTCTGTCGGGTTCCATGCTGCAGCATTACCGCCCGCGCTGCGTTCTTCTCCTCCAAAATCGCTCTGCACTCCTCGTCGAGCCATTCATTCCGTCGACTTCTTTCCACGTACCCGATGGTGCTTTCGGCTGCGTCGGTGATGGCTGCTTTCACTGTACTCCAGCAGTCCTCTAGAGGGGGTACATCGAGCTCGCCCTCCTCTGGCAACGCTGCCCCGAGATTCTGCGGTTATGCTAAGGCGACATCCGGTTGCTTCAGTCGCTCTAGGTTGTACCGTGGCGGGTGTCGATACCGTACATTGTTGATGACGGAAAGTTTTGGGCGCAGTTTGACCATCACCAGGTAGTGGTCAGAGTCGATGTTAGCGCTACGATAGGTCCTGACGTCGATAATGTCGGAAAAGTGCCGTCCATCAATCAGAACGTGGTCGATTTGCGATTCCGTCTGCTGTGGTGATCTCCAGGTGTAACGATAGGGGAGGCTGTGTTGGAAGAAGGTGCTACGTATGGCCATGTTCTTGGAGGCGGCGAAATCGATGAGTCGTAGGCCGTTCCCGTTCGTCAGCTGGTGGGTGCTGAACTTTCCAATCGTCGGTCTGAATTCCTCAGCCTGGCTCCTATGATGATCTAGACGTCGTGGCTTGGGCAGCGATCGTACTCGCGGTCTAGCTGCGCGTAAAATGCGTCCTTGTCATCCATCATCAGTGCTTCCGGAGTGAGGGCTGTGCACGTTGATTATGCTAAAGTTAAAGAATCGGCCCTTGATCCTCAACCTGCACATTCTTTCGTCGATCGGCCACCAGCCGATCACGCGCTTCTGCATTTCGCCCATCACGATGAAAGCTGTGCCCAGCTCGCGTGTGTTGCCGCAACTCTGGTAGATGGTATGATTACCTCTAAACGTTCGCACCATGGATCCTGTCCAGCACACCTCCTGCAGCGCTACGATGCCGAATCCACGGTCCTTCAGTAGATTGGCGATTGTTCGGGTGCTCCCGATGAAATTGAGAGATCGACAGTTCCACATGCCGAGTTTCCAATCGCAAGTCCTATTTCGTCGCTGGGGTCGTTGCCGTTGGTCTCGGTTCGTATTCCTCTGGTGCTGATTTTCCGTCGCAATGTTTTTTTACGGCTGGTTCGCAGGGCCTGACACCAACCCCCTAACTTTCCGGAGGACCAGGGTGCACAGTTGTGCTTGGAGTCCTTCACTGGCACTCGGACGTAGAGCAGCCGCCCCTAACATGGGGAACAGACGCTGTTGTGAGCCGCTCCTCCTGGAGAACAGACGCTCAGGCTTGCCGAAGCAAACCGCCCCCCCCCCCCTCCCTTCCCTGTCACCCTATGACCAAAGTTCCCACCGGGGTTGGTTACCCGATCTTCCCTAAGGTTGCTCACAGTCCCCGGCCGGTACCACGGGGAGGTAGGGATAGGATTTGCTGGGAAGAGGCTAGTGATCTCAATGGGATCTGTATTGCGCATTACCCAGCATTTACTCGCGAGTTACACGTTGCAAAAAAGCAACTCAGAGTAAAGATGTCTCTCCCCTTGGTCTCAACTATCGATATGCACCATTTCAACATATTTGGTTCGCAGTACTTCTGAATATTAAAGTTTTAAGTAGGCTAATCCCAAAACTGTACCGATAAATCTCGAATACTTGATCAACCAGCAACCAAGATGCCAGCAAATTTCATGGACCGCCGAAAAAGTTACAGCTCTTTGATTTTTTTTGCAGAGGGAAAAAATCGCAATGTTATATACTTATGCCTGGAAAAGTAAATACATAGATCCTTTAAAACCGTTTGAATCAAAATGTATCTTTGAAAGAGTTATATTATATCTCATCGAAAATGCATGCAATGTATCATTGAATTGAGTGGTTAGCGTCGTATGTCAATTTATCCTCGAAGTATTCCATAAACCCGCTCATTTGATCTATGATCTGACACTACCTGCACTGCACTAACTGTTATCTGTATTTTACATAGCCACATGCTGTTCAAAATTTCTAATAAATTAAATCATTATCAAAACAAATTGATACTGATTATCCAGTGGAATAATAATTTCAATAATTGCCTTTAATGATGACATCTTAAAGAAAACCAAAGCCAATCGCTCTACTGCCTCCCAAAAACATGTTCGTATTTGTTCGTAAGGTAGTCTACGGATTGTGCAACTCATGAAGTGAAAATTACTCTAAAATCCCTGCAACAACTGTGTGAAATTTAATTGGAGCTGCAAATATCCCACAAACAAACAAAAACTATATGAAACAAACGCAGATGCATTGAATAATTTGCGTTTATTGCTACCTTAAACGATGCGCCCCAAAGCGATGCATAGCCGGAATTGTATTGCGAATGTTGGTGATGCCGGAAAAAATCACCCAGTCCATGAAAGCTGACTGACTGCTCGTCCAATTATGCATGCATAATTGCAATTACGTAAGGCAGAAGAGCTGAGACACTTAAATGTGCGAGATAACAACAGAAACTAGCTGAACAATGATTCCAGAAACTACATTTACACCGTTTGTTTTTTTTTTTCTGCTGGCCTCAACAGTTCATCAACATACAAAAGGTCTTATGTAGGGGATATGATAAAATTTCCACTTCGCATTATAAAGAATTTTGATGAGTCAGAAATTTTAAGCTTGAAGCAGAAAATCAACCATCAGGTGAACGTGCAAATTTTGCCTTGTCCGCGCAGAAATCCGTTTACTTTCGGAAGGTCGATCAAACAACACGATAGAAGCACTACAAATGCGAACTTCGAGTGGCTTCATTCAACGGTTCGATAGTGGCTATTTTGTACACGCGATTGGCATCAACTGATTGGAAAATAAGTACCTTCAAAAGCTGTAACAAATTCAATTTAAAAACTCACCTTAACGGCATATTTGCGCCCGGTGTGCTTGTCCTTGGCACTGTAGACCTCCCCGTAGGTTCCTTCGCCGATCAGATCCAGCAGCTCGAACCGCTCGGCCGGATTGGGCAGCCTCAGGAAGTCCACGTGCTGCGACAGTCCATTGTAGGCCATATTCCTGCCGGGGAACCAAAATACACAAAACGAAAAAAAAAACACACGAACGAATTAGATTTTTACCGATCACTATCCTGGGGAGCAAACATATTCTATGAACTACGACGAGCCCGGGTGGAGCCCTGCAGTCAACTGTTGCGACTGGTTCCTCCTGGGGGAAGAGGAAGTCTTCCAACTTCCAACAGTGGCAACAGTTGAACCCGGTGTTGTTGGTTTTTCAGTGGAACCACTCGCTTGTAGTGAATGGTGAGCATTAGGACGAGGATGACTGTGATGCGATACAAAGTTGAACGCAAAACAACCGGGGACAGTATAATAGGATTAGAACAACGTGGAACACGTTTTCTGCGCCCGTGGATAAGTGAGGGGATGCATTTTTGTGTTCGAGTGAGCATTTATCGATTGCCGATTTTTGTTTTTGACCTTTTTCCAATGCGTACTAATCCACATGCGGAAGAAATCCGCATGTCACTTACCATTACCAGTTCAAGGTACGAAAATTGAATTTCGAATTGAAATTCGACTTGAAATGGATTCTTGATTGCCCAGAAAAATTGGGAAATTTCAAACAAAAGCAGAAAGTCGAATTCGTTGCCTTCAATATGATTTTGCTTTAACAGTTGTACTTTTACTGACTTGCCTTAGTGATGTTTCTTACAAATAGAAGGGGGCATTTTTTGTTGGTGGGTCTTTAAATCACATGCAAATAACCAAAATATCACTAGAATGATTTGAAATCAGATTGAACAGCAATTGTATTTTTTTTAATTGAAACACAATTCTAAAAATAAATTTATTTTGTAAATTAATGTCTGTGATCTTGAATCGGATTTCACACGTCTTGCCGTCTGTGACCGATAGCCATCCATACAAGCTATCTCACCTGTATAAAACATTCCCAATGGATAGATCTCTGCACGATCTGGCTCGACAGTTTGATTACAACATCGTAGAATCAAATTGAATATGAAAAATCGACCCGGCAAGATGAAACTTGCTGATGTCTGTATGTGCGTCTGTGGACACGTTTCATCTAGGCAAGCTTTTTCTCGAAATGGCTTATCCGATTAATATAGTTGATACGTGCGTGTCGTATAACCCCGTTATACGGGGAAGGCTTAATGTTTAGTTTGGGCGTTATCATCTGAAGTGAAATCGTACGTAAATTCGTGGAATGTACGTATTCCAATAAGACAAGCTGGATTTTGTCCCTTCAAATTTGTGCACGGCCGATGAGAACAACCAAAATAAAAACCTCATTAATTTGCTGTAAAATGAGGAAAATTTACGAAAATTTTACTCAATCTAGCAATCCTTGAAAAAGCGCGAAAAAGCTGGAAAACATGAAGCAAATTTACTCACTGCTGAATTTCTGCACTTTTTGCGATGAGTAAACTGCCGGTAATCCCAAGTCAGTCCCAACTGCATTTTTATTCATTTTAAGTTAGCATCATTATTCAGTTATCATTTAAAAAAGATTTACCACTTCCCCGGTGATACCCGATACATGTCCGGGTGTGGCTAACATGGTGCTGGTCACTCATCATGACTCTTATTGATCTTATTTTTTAATTTTCATCTGAATGGAAATGATATATTTTTTTTTTTTTTTTTTTTTTTTTTTTTTTTTTTTTTTTTTTTTTTTTTTGTTATTATAGTCACTTTAACGCTCTTGGGTCATTCGTGACTTGTCCGGGGGTGAGATTTGAACTCGTGACTTTGGCGTGAGAGGTATGGATGCTAACCACTACGCCGGGGTCGCCCCCATATGGAAATGATAGCTTATCACTTCTAATTTCGTAATACTGGATAAGCTCAAAAACATCTTTCTGGAAATGATTGTAAAAGCATCCTGACAGGTTGTGCCATTGCATTAGGAGCAATGGTTCAAAGCAAGTTAGTGAATATCGTCAGTGTGCTGTGAATTTTCATTTTATATTCATTATATTTTTTTACTAATCATTAATTATTCTTTATATTTTTTTACTAATCATTAATTATTCTTTATGCTTCGTAATTTATTCTATATTATGTATGATTTTTTTTTTCTTTATTCATTATTATTTATTCAATATTCGGTAATCTATTTTCCTTATTCATGATCCTGTATTCCTCATTCCTTATTATTTATTTTCCATTTTTTTTATTTTCTATTATTTATTCTCTATTATTTATTATATAGGAGAAATGGCTCTAATGTTGGCCTATGGATCTAAGATAGGGCCCAGCGCTAAAAATCTGCAATTTTTTAATTTTATCTAGATGAACGCGTCATTGGGATGGTAATGGACAATGGATATTTTTGGTAGTTATTGAAAATTTAGTCGATTGCTGAATTTATGTATGGGCCCAAATTAGGGGCATTTAGGCCAACATTACATCCATTTCCTCTATTCTTCATTCCCTGTTTTTTATACTCTATTCGTTTATCTTTTTTATCTTATTATTTTCAATGCTCTATCCCTTTTTCTCTAATCTTTTTTCTTTATTCTTTATCATTATTCTTTATTCTTGATTCTTCATTCTTTATTCTTTATTCTCTATTCTTTATTATTTATTATTTACTATTTATCCATTAGTCTTAATCCTTTATTTTGTATGATTTATTCTTTTTCCTTTATTATTTATTGTTTATTATGAAGTCTTGATTATTTATTCCTTATTTTTATTATTCATTTTTTATTCTTAATTTTTTATTCTTTGTTCTTAATTCTTCATTCTTAGTTATTTATTCTTTATTCTTTATTATTTATTATTTATTCTTTATTTTTTATTAATTATTCTCGTTTCTTTATTCTTTATTTCTTTATTCTTTTCTATTTATTCTTTTTTGTTTATTATTTTTTGTTTACTCTTTTTTGTTTATTCCTAAATCTGTATTCTTTATTTTAAATTCGTTTTTTTTTCATTCTTCATTATTTATTCTTTATTTTTAATTCTTTATTTTTCACCCTTTGTTCTTTATTCTTTATTTTTTATTCTCCATTCTTCATTCTTTATTCTTTATTATTTACTCATTATTAAGTATTTTTTTATTCTTCATTCTTTATTCTTTACTCTTTATTTATTATTATTTATTCTTTATTATTTGTTCTCTATCATTCATTCTTGATTAACTATTCTTGATTCATTATTCTTTATAAATTATTCCTTATTCTTTATTATATATTCTTAAGTCTTTCTTTATTCGTTATTCTTTATTCATTATAAATAATTCTTTATTACTAATTCAGTATGTTTTCTTTTTTTTTTTCTTTTTTTTTTAATTCCCTTTTTTTATTCTTTATTCCTTATTATTTATTATATATTCAATATTCTTTACTCTTTATTCTTTATTCTCTATTGTAATTCTTTACTCCTTATTCTTGATTCTTTTTCTGTGATCATTCTTTGTCATTTTTTTTATTATTTTTTATTCTTCATGCTTAATTCTGCATTTATATTCTTTATATCGTATTCTTGATTATTTATTATTTATTCTTGATTATTTTTTTTTATTCTTAATTTCTTTATTCTTTTATATTTATTCCATATTCCTTATTCTTTATCATTTATTCTTTGTTTTTGTTTATTATTCATTACTTTACATTCCCTACTTTTTCTTAATTATGCTTTATTCTTTTTTCCTCTTCATTATTTATTCTTTTTTATTGATGCTCTATTCATTATTATTTATCGTGTAATCTCTACTATTTTACTTCATTATTTATTCCGTATTCTTTATTCTTCATTCTTCATTCTTCATTCTTCATTCTTCATTCTTCATTCTTCATTCTTCATTCTTCATTCTTCATTCTTCATTCTTCATTCTTCATTCTTCATTCTTCATTCTTTATTCTTTATTATTGATTCTTTATTCTTTATTCTTTATTCTTTATTCTTTATTTTTTATTCTTTATTCTTTATTCTTTATTCTTAATCTTAATTCTTAATTTTTAATTTTTTATTATTTATTATTTATTTTTTAATCTTTATGCTTTATTCTCCATTCTTTATTCTTTATACTTTTTTCTTTATTGTTAATTTTTTATTCTTTGTTCTTTCTTCTTTATTCGTTTTTTTCTTTATTCCTTATTATTTATTATTTATTCTTATTCTTAATTCTTTATTCTTTCTTCTTGATTCTTGATTCTTCATCCAGATTCCAAATTTTTTATTCCTTATTTTAATTAATTTTTACTGTTTTATTTTTTATTATATATTCGTTTTTCCTTATTCTTTATTATATATATATTATTTATTTATATCTCTAGAATAGAGAATTACTTATTCTTTATTCTTGATATTTTATTATTTATTCATGATTCTTATTTCTTTATTTTTATTCATTTATCCTTTAATATATACTCCTTATTCCTTATTATATATTCTTCATTCTTTATTATATCTTTATTCTTTATTTTTGTTCTTTGCTCTTAACTTTATATTCTTTATTCTTTCTTAATTGTTCTTTATTATTTTTTCTTTATTCTTTATTCTGTATTCTTTGTACTTAATTCCTCATTCTTTATTATTTATTCTTCATTCCTAATTATTTATTCGTTTTTTGTTTATTATTTTTTGTGTACTCTTTTTTGTTTATTCTTAAATCTGTATTTTTTATTTTATATTAGTTTTTTTTTCATTATTTTATTTATTCTTTATTTTAAATTCTTTATTTTTTACCCTTTGCTCTTTATTCTTTATTCTTCATACTTCATTTTTTCTTCTTTATTATTAAGTCATTATTAAGTATTTTTTTATTCTTCATTCTTTATTCTTTACACTTTATTTATTATTTTTCATTCTTACTTCTTTGTTCTATATCCTTCATTCTCGATTAACTATTCTTTATTCATTATCCTTTATACATTATTCCTAATTCTTTATTATTTTTTCGTTAGTCTTTCTTTATTCGTTATTCTCTATTCTTTATTATTAATTCATTATGTTTTCTTTTTTTTATTCTTCATTCTTTATTCTTTATTCTTTATTATTAATTCTTAATTCTTGTTTTATTTT